ATCTGCTACACAGGTTGAAGCACATCCCCAAGCCCAACATGAAGATCTGTGTCCTTGGTGACCAGATGCACATTGATGAGGCTAAGGAGAACAACATTCCCTGCATGTCTGCCGATGACCTCAAGAAGCTGAACAAGGACAAGAAGCTTGTCAAGAAGCTGGGTAAGCATTCCTTTCACATAATGTGTGTGCAGTATGGTGTTTGAAGGGTGTTTTCAGCTATAATTGCCTTGGCACTGATTGGTGTGATGTTACCCAAATCCCAGTACTAATATTCCCCCATAATGAGCCTGAATTGTTTTGCCATAACTTTTTATACCACTTAAGTTTTGTTTAATTTTGCCTTGCAATTCCAGAAACTAACCTTCCTCCCCCCCCCCCCCCCAAAAAAAAAAATATAATATATATATATATATATATATAATATATATATATAAACCTAAATGGGTAACCAATGTGGGTAGAGTATTGATATGAATATTAATGATTGCAAGGCAGTGGTTATCACTGCATCCTATACCAGTGGCTTTAATTTGTACTTCAAAGTATTAAATCTAGAAATATTAAATTTTACGTCTTGATAAAAGTACTGACACTGGCTTTCCCCTTATAGACTGTTCATGCTTAAAATAACAATCAAAGCTTGTAAATTCTCAAGTACTGAAGTCTCAAAGGGTGAAGACCATTCTTTAACCTTTTTCTCTAGGCAATTATTATGAAACACTGATTCAATATTACAATGATGAATTGATTCCCATGGACCAGATACTTGCATGAAGATTTTTACTCAGCTCACTCTGAAGCTTACTGAAATGTACCTTTATAAAACTAGTATTGTCTTGGCACTAAAGTTTCTCTCCCCACCCCACAGCAAAGAAGTATGATGCCTTCATTGCCTCTGATGCCCTCATCAAGCAGATTCCCCGTCTGTTGGGCCCTGGTCTCAACAAGGCTGGCAAGTTCCCTACCATGTGCACTCACTCTGAGAAGTTGACAGACAAGTGCAATGAGATCAAGGCCACCATCAAGTTCCAGATGAAGAAGGTAAAATGAGTTTCAGTTGATAATGTATACTTTATTGAATGATGTTTTTAGCATGTATTACCAGAAACTGTATGTTGAACACTTTAATCTGACCACTAAGAATTGATCCAGTTGTATCAAAGGTGTAGGACATTAAAATAATGGTACCTTCCCTTCTCCCCCTAAGGTGTTGTGCCTGTCTGTTGCCATTGGCCACGTTGAGATGGCTTCGGATGAACTAGTGCAGAACGTTTACCTGGCCATGAACTTCTTGGTTTCGCTGTTGAAGAAGCATTGGCAGAACGTGCGATCCCTGCATATTAAGTCTACCATGGGAAGGCCCCAACGCCTGTACTAAAATAAACGTTGGATGTGTGAATTCTTTTTAATTTGCCTAAAAAGGGGATGTTTGCTAATTCCGGGTTATTTACTTGGAGGAGAAATGATAATTCGGTTAAAATTGGTACTATCCAGAAGATTCTATTAAATCTCGTGCATATTGGTCTTGAAACTATAAAATTTGAAGTAACAGCAGTGTCAAAACGTGTAGGTTACCAACACAAATATACTTATATCATGTGAAGCAATGCCAAGCATTGAAGATTACCACTTAAACTAGGCTTCATTGCACATACCTTGTGAATACAACCACCACAATGAGCATAATTGCACAACCAGACCAATTGTATTTATCTATTTGGACAAGCCATGTGGAAATGCAAGTTGACATCAATGACCACCAATCCCTTGCTCGTTGCTGTTTGGAGTGGTAGGGAGATAGAGGCGCCCAATATAGGGTATCACCCCAGTCGTTAAACTCTGCCTTCGCCTCTACTAATTTTGCGGGGTCTTTTCTCCCTTTCATTTTCCTTCTCCATCCTTTTGTCAACTTATCCAAATCAACTCGTATTTACCATTTTCGCTAATATTCTTTACCATAATGTAATCTTTGTCTGGTACATCTTTGATCACTGGAAGTCCACAAACGCCCCACCCCCCAGACCCACTCTATCGCTACATTGTAGGAGCCGCTAATTACCTTGTATGTTAACGCGGAAGAAAATTATAAGTAAATTATCCTTATCCCCTTGAAGATGGGGACTGAAGCCCAATGTGGGGGACCACACCTGCCTTGCCCCTCTATTCTCATTTTTCCTTTTCATCCACTTACCCTAATAGTTACTCGTTTTTGCCGTTTTCGCCACCGTACTTTATCAATGCTCCCTACTCCCTTAACTTTCCCTTTAACAACCATTACCTTGTATTATATGCCATCAGCTCCCCCTCTACCATTTTCACTACCATACCATCCTTTAGTACTGTTCAACCTATAACTTTACCCAGATCATTTACGCTTTCCTAACCCTTTCGCCACCCCTCAATCCTTTACTCCTTGTTTCTGTGGGCGGAGGGGGGGGGGCCTGAGAAGGCGGAGATTGACCCAGTGTAGGAATCACCCCTGCCTTGGACTTTGCCCTCGCCTCAACCAATTTTGCATGGTGTTTCTTTATCCCTCTTACCTTTTTTTTTCTCCATCCCCCTCTGTCCACTTAATGTTTCTCATTTTTACCCTTTTCACAATAATATTATACCACTGCTCGATAACCTTCAATGTCGAGCACATTCTTTTGTTGTGCCCATCGCCTCAAATTTTGCACTGGCTTCTCGCTACTTCCTTTTCCTTCTCTTCCCGTCCGACTAGTTCTCCAAAGCGTTCACTCATTTTTACGCCTTTTCGTCACAATAGTGTCTGCCATTGGACCTTTGATGTCTGGCACATTTATCATTCTGGAAGTCTACCAACATCGTCCTGTGAACCAAAAGTCTTACTTATCTGGGGGCTTCGCCCCCAAGCTCCACCCTATTGCTATAGTTTGAATACGCCGCTATGCTGCATTCGGAACTAGTCTTGCTCGTCCAGACAACTCAAAACCAGCAGGACAACGAGGCCACATTTTGAACCTCCGAGGTCTTCGTTGCCCACCATGCAACCAGGTCTAAAGGAAACCAGGGTCTTTATTGTGCACGCTGCATAGGTTTTGTAACAACTCTAATGAATAAATAATTTATCTGCAACTGAAAACCCCAAAATACCATTTGGTAAACAATAAATGGCCATAAAATTACTATCAGTGTCTTAAGATACAAATGCAATTCTGACGTCAGATCGTTCAAATCGGAGACAGAGAAAGACCCAACGTAGGGAGATCACCCCTACCTTGGACATTGGCCCTCGCCTCAACTAATTTTTGCATGGTTTTGCTTTCCTTTTCCTTTTCTTCGTCGCCTTCTGACCACTAATCTGTATCATTAACCCATTTCAACCCTTTTCGCCACAATAGTATTATATCATATATGAGCTCTGATGTCTGACACATTTATTTTGACCATTAATCATTCTAGAAATGCGCAAGTACCGCCTTATTGAAAAAAAAAAAAAAATTACCGGGGGCTTCGCACCCCTAGCCCCACCTTATCGCTATATTTTGTATACGCCACTAATGACTTTAGATGTTTTTTCAATAAATAAATATATATTTTTTTCCAAGTATGAGCAAGGAGAAACATTATAACAGCTAAAACTTTAGCCAGAGTTGTTTAATTCGAGAGTGCGACATGTTTAACTGCTATTGATAAGGAAATGGCTCGGCAGCTATCGCCTCGTATCAGTACTGTGTGATTAGATTAGTATGGAGGCTGTTACGTTACATGCGATACCTTGTATGTAAATTTAGTACCCATTACTACGCTGAATCAGGAATGATCTCAAGAAGGTAAGTTCTAGAAAACCAATGCATCAAGAATGCGCCATACTTCAATTTAGATATTAAGAGCTATAAAAATCAGATTTTGAAGTCCATATCCTTAAATTCGTCAAATGTATACGCTCGTACTTGTGATTTATTCACAGTGTTAGTGCAAAAATTCTAAGATATTGCATTGAATTGTTTAGAAGTACTGTACAGCTGCCCTCTTAAAAGCTAATTATTGATAGAATAACTGGCAAATTATATTGTGACATTAGGGAACGAGTTGTTTATAATGGGATATTTAAAGTATGAATTGCTGAGACCTCTACTAGGAAAATAGCATTAACATTTGGCCAATAGGGTTCATGGCAGAATGTATCACCCAACTTAGTAACTCCATAATTGCTTTTGTTTTTATTGAATTTTACTTTTGAAATTTAAATGGTAGATTATTTGTTTTTTTGTGCAAACTACCATAGGACTCCTCTTGCCTACTGATGTCTATTATTGATATTGTTCAGATAAACTGTTATATTGACAATATTTTATTATCTGTAATTATAGTGAGAGGTAATTTATCTTCTGTTTTTTTTTTCAATGACAACATTTATTGTTTTAAAAAATAAGTTGAATGCTTTAATGTATATTTTCAGTATGGGTCAAAATTGTTAAATATGTATATAAACTTAGATAAACTTAGAAGGTGATGAAAAGAATGATTACAATAGTTAATAAGATGAACTGTGATTTATTAATCTAAAGTCTCTGGGAAAATGTTGCATTCACTTTAGTATTGTTTTGTGAAATGTTTCTGCTTAGCCACAAAGGAGACAATTAGCAGACCTTGTGACCTCACCTGATTTCATTTTATGTATATACATATATATATGTATATACATATATATATGTATATACATATATATATGTATATACATATATATATGTATATGCATATATATACATCTATACACAGATAGATATACACATACAATATTCTGCATGCATTTTATATCTTTATCTATCAATCTATCTATCTATACGTACATACATACATACATATGCATGCAGGTATGCATGCGTGTGTGTATGCATGCATATGTGCATATGTATAGATAGATACAGATATAGATGTGCATGCAGAGTATATGTAGCTATATTAGATTATGCATTCTGTTTTTTCAGTTGCCTCATTTCCTTATTCCTTTATTTTCTTTTCTTTTTTTGTCTTTTAAGAAAGTAACACAGAATTAGGATGACTTCTGAAGAGGACTTACAGCATTGTATTGAAACCACAGATCTGAAAGCACAAGGTCCTGGAGTCCACAGTCACACATCAAGACCTTATGCTGGCCAGCCTGGTGATCTCATCAACCATGAAGATGGCCTCCACGGTGATCTTCTCACTCACTCTCAAGTCCTCCCTTCAGGACTTCACTCAGTTACACCTAGGAATAACCTGAAGGAACCTGAGACTTCAGTAGTTGAAACATACTTACCCAGTTCTTCATCTTTGGGCTTGAACAAATACTCCATGCTGCTGAAACTGTTAAAGACTAGAGAACAAAGGAGGGTAGGAGGTACAAAAAGTGCCCAGACTGTAAATGATGGATGTATAGATGATGGGTCTCATGGCAGTAAACCGAGGGAAACCGAGAGATGTGAGTTATTTAAGCTAAGGCAAGAGAGCTTTAATGCCACTGGAACCAATTACATCCCAGATTGCACTATAAGTCATCAGTCCAATGTTAATGAAGTTGAGAAATATACGCTTTCATCAGAATTGGAGGACGATTGGTCAAGTGATGAGGAAGTGCAGTATTTAGGTTCATACAGTCAAGGTCCGAGGGAATTCCACAATAAAATAAATTTGAATGAGGGCGAAGGTGACAGTGCCTGTAAAAATTCCAGTGCTTTGACTTGTGTGAAACCATGTAGAACAACTCGTCAGTCTGATCCATTTGGAAGAATTCTAGATAAGTTTGATATTTTCATATGTAGAATAAAAGTTTCTCTCTATGCCAAAACCATATCAGGAGACTTAGAGGATGCTAGTGAATCTCTGACAGACTTGGAGAAATGTCTCCTAGATATTAAGTCTAGCTTATCATATTCAGAATTGATTGAAAAACTCTCATCTTTCACTAAGTGTATTGAAGACAACAGTGGTCTTGCTTCAGTTTTTCTACTTAATTTCACCCAGTACATTAGCTCAGAACTTGCACTGGAAAATAACTTGAGAGAAATAAGTGGGTTTGTTGAGTGCCTGAGACCATGCTTAGAGGCTGCTATAAAGGGACATATCTCACAGGATGTGATCAGTGACATCAAGAACCAAAATCTCATCCAAAATTTGTTACTTAGTGTAGCTGCTTTATTCAAGGAGGAGACAAAATACAAGGAAAGTTCCATAAGAACAATCATGGAATATGGCAAAGGTGCAAACCCAGCAAAAGCTCAAATCATTCGCATGAGCACAGAAGACTCCAAAACTATATTCCAGGAAACATTTGCAGACGTGGGCCCACACTTGGATCTCTACACTATCTACTTTTGGTATATCATCAATGTCTGTAAGATGGAAGTCAAGGATGGGAAGCAGTCATCCATGATATCCATGACCAAGGCTCTTGAGGCATCGGGAAAGTTCATAAATACCCTTCCAACGTGTGAGCTCAAGTCCAGAAAGTCCGAACTTCTTTCAATAAATGAAAAGCAAAATGTTCATCAGCCAGGTGAGTGTAAAGTCATCCAGGCAAGTGACACAAGTGCCTTTGCTGCCCTGTCCCCTCCCACCTCCACCTGTTCCCCCGTCCCTGCCTCCTCCCCCACCACTACTCCCACCCCAGCCAGTGAGCTCCGCTACCAGTGGGTGGACTTCCGGCTAGGACAACTGTACGAGAATGGAGTAGCTTTCCTGGCAAATATGGAAAACTGGCTGGAAAAGCTGCTAGAAATCTCAAGGCTTGTGCAGAACCTTGAAGTAAAGAAACATGTGCGGTTCTCTCCTTCTCTTGGTGCTACTTTTGCTCTGTTTTTACAGGTGAGTGCGCAAGTATGTTTGAAATGTAAGAATAAGACTGAATAGCTGCACAGATTTAATGTTGATGTAACCTTGAAATTGATATTTTCTATTCAGATCTTTTCTAATTTAGATGCAGATTAAAGAAAAAAAAGAGGAATTTGCATAGTTATTAGAATAATGCTTATAAATGAGTCTATAGAAAAAAAAAATGTGAATAATTTCTTGTTTGAATGTTGTTACTGAAAGTCCTGATGAAAATGAAATTTAGATATGTAAGATGATATGAAGGAAATAATATAAGACAAAGTATATGTGCAAAGAAATAGAGTATTGATAGAGTTCATGAATGAGTAAATTCATGAATGCAAAAATAGATGAAGACTCCTTAGTTCATAGATATTTCAGGTAAATAATTTTTTAATGCCTATTCATTGTTATCAGTAGAGCTTAGTATCTCAAAAATTCAGTATTATAGACAGCTTTTAAATGATTATCTTTATAACGTGAAATGATACTAAAGTCTATTTCCAGAAGAAATTTACACTCAGCCTCTTTCCAGGAAGGAATTAGAACCCTCACTGGCAAAGCAAACGTAGCCTACATTCGTGTGCGCGTGGTGCGAGTTGTAGGTCCTGTTGTGTGTGTTTATGGCATAGACACTGGCACCACGCATACCTGTCACTCCGTAGACCTCATTCTTTTGCCATCGACGGTCCTTAGTCACCCCCCTGCTGGACGCCTCGCCTTCTTGCCTGGTAATTAAGGCTGTAGACACTGTTATTTAATATCTTGATTTGTTGTAGGTGAGGCCACAGGTAACAGATAGAGCATGCTGAACAGGAAATCTGGAGGTTATGGTAGATGTTGTTAGATATTTTGTTGTGGTTTAGTTCAGTGTTGTTTTGTGGTTTCCTAATATGGGGTGTCTGCCCGTTACAGTTTTATTTAAGGTTCACTGGTTTACTAATATCATATGATTTCTTAGTGATTTACTTGTTTACAAACTTTAAAATTTTCTGACATGGTGTTAAATGATTAGAATTTGATGAATTAGGGTTAATTTTGAATGCTGTATTAGTAATTCAGTTCTAAATCCAGTTGTTAGTAGAAGAATTTGAAGAGGAAAATAGCTTAAAGTATGTATTTACATCTGATTTTAGTTGATATTGATAATCATGTATTTTTTAAAGAAATAATACTTTTTTCCCAAGATTTACCCCATTAGCAGAAGATAATGCTAGAAAAGGAAGATAAAACAACAAGTGATTGTCATCACTTCTTGGATAGGCTGAATTACTTGAATAATTCCCTCACTACATAATAAAAGATAAATTAAGCTATAGTTGTTTGCAGACACTGATGGAATATGTAGAAATACTCCATGATATTGCTCAGTATAATGTGTTTTGCACATTAATATGTTTGCTCTGAGTTTGTTTTACTGATATTTATGTGAATGTATACTGCATAAAGTATTATGCACCAGCAAAAAATGTCACTGGAATATACAAAACATTTTGAAACTCTTGCTTTGTATCATTGATATATTTACATTTGGGTTTTGACCTTCATCTTTTATTCACAGTTGCACCAACACCAGAGGTTTCTTCCCTTACACATACTCTGGCCCTCCTTCTCGCTCTCGTTCAGCACTCGGACTTGTCATTGGATTTGCAAGGGGTAGACATCAGGTGAGTCTTACTTATTTGGTTATTTGGTGTAATTTCTACTGAAAGTCTTGCTAGTAACTCAAGCAAGTGCCTTTGTGGGGAACTACCTGTCTTTTGTTAGTTGTGAGGAACTGAACTTGAGGAAAGATGGAATTTAATTCAGACCTCATTCTTTCACTACTGTTAGGTAGTCCGGTATCAAACTTAACCAGTGATCTAGTTTTGTTTTAAACACACTTCTTCAGTGCAGTACAGGTATGTATTGTTCTGCACCATAGTATCACCATACTATTAAAAATGTATATAGGGATATTTAACCCATTCGCCCCACGTGGCAAGAATAGATGCCATGCCTACTTTGATACACGTTTATTTATTGTATTTACAACATAGATGGCTTCACAAGTTCTGAATTACCAAATAGCCAGTTATCAAGAACTACCTATTTCACCTGTTTACCCATTTCCTTCACTTTAGGAAAGGATTTTTTGTATCATTTCATTGTCTAAAATATTCTAATGACAATTTAATAATCATAAATCAATAACAATAATAACAGATTCGATAGCAATGGTATTAATTTTCCTGCCAATTCAATGAATGGGAAAATCAGGATCGGTAACTAGGGCCTACTGATAGACTCCTTGCCGGCTGAGGACATGTGGAGCCATCTTTATGTAACAAAATTCACCAAAAACTACAGGGGACAGAACATAAATCTGGGGCGAATGGGTTAAGCACTTATCCCAGTACTATAGTACACTCCTCTCTGCTTTAGAGTAATGTCATACTTAGCTCCCTCCTCCAAGTTTCCAATGATCTATACATATGTAATAAAGTATCATTGTGTTTTTTTTTTTTTTTTTATCTTTCTCTTTATTTAATATATTATATTTTTAGTAAGACTTATGATTCCCTACTTAGCACTGATACCACAATCACTTGTGGAATCACTTGTATATTTCCTAGTGGTAGATGTTCAGGATCTCTTGTTTTAAAGGTCTGCATCATTGATCCACACACAACTTTTTCTTTGATAACTGCCTCCTCTTTGATTCATACTCCCTCTACAGAGTATAATCTTGGTTTTGGCTTTCAGACAGCCAATGCTGTATGATTTTGAATTTGTCATTGAATTGTATTTTTATGTATATGTTTATTCATATGTACATGCATATATATATTTGCACATGTTGAAGAAATTTGAATGAGATGTATTTGACTGGCTTCAATTATATCTGCATCAAAAATATCACCCTCATACCCTCACTCCTCTTTGAAGTCCTCCTCTGCCTGAGCCAATGACAGAGTTATGTTTCTCTGCCTCTATCTCCTTGTGAATAAGAGGTAGTGTGTGATTTGTGAATGAATACAAGGTAGTAGTTCTGGTGCTGTATGGTATGTTTTATTTCTGACAAAGATATAGTCAAAACTGGTTAAACACATCTCATGTGATATAGAAATATTGATTCTCATTCGTATCTTTTTCTACATTTGCCATAATGAATGCTGTTCATTTGTACATGTGTACTTGTATACACATATGTCCATATTTGCACCAATATGTATGTATGTTGATAGTTTTACAGGTGTGTACATGGATGTACATGTCAAAACAGATTATGCAATCTGTAATCAGGAAGAGTAAAATGCACAAGTAATGAAATATCAAAATATCGAGGGGAATAGGGGTTATGACTTTGTTAAAGTCCTTAAAAAAACAGTGCTGAATCTCATGAGTAATTTTTTAGATGTATACCCTTGGCTGGAAAATCAATAACTGTTATGGACTCTTTATTAAATACACAAGGCTTCCACCTCTTTAGCCTTTTGTAGTGAGGGTAGACTGTATTGGGCACAACTCATAATTAAATAGCAAAGATATTAAAAATCACAATGATTTGATGATTATCATTTCAAAATGCTGTAACAGGCCAGTAGGAAAGTGGCTGTATTGTGATGACTTGGTGCCTTTAACTGTGCAACTTTTGCAAGCAGTTGCAGATGTCACTCAGAATGCAGACCGGTTGTGCAACATATGTTCATTGCTAACAGGTAGGATAGTTCTCTGTTAAAAATTTCAGTAATTAGAGAGTATATATGTGTATATATATATATATATATATATATATATATATATATATATATATATATATATATATATATATATAATATATATATAATATATATATAATATATATATATATAATATATATAATATATATAATATATATAATATATATAATATATATAATATATATAATATATATAATATATATGATATATATGATATATATGATATATATGATATATATGATATATATGATATATATGATATATATGATATATATGATATATATGATATATATGATATATATAATATATATAATATATATAATATATATAATATATATAATATATATAATATATATAATATATATATAATATATATAATATATATAATATATATAATATATATAATATATATATATATATATATATATATATATATATATATATATATATATATATATATATATATATATATATATATATGTTATATATATATATATAATATATATAATATATATAATATGTATGTATGTATGTTTACATGTGTAATTTAATTTTTGGTATTTGATTTTCATTATTTTTGTGTTTAATTTTTTTTTTTTTTTTTATGTTCATATTCAAAATATTAATTAGAATATTTGGGTTGATATTTAAAACATGTTTATGAATGTAATTGTGAATATATTACATACACATTTAACTAAATTTGTCTGGGTATGTAATACTATGCTATAATGTTTGGGTACCTTTTGCGTATATACATTTTCAGTTTGTAATTTATATTTACATTCAAACAGATTACTTGGAACGGACAGTTTACAGAAAAAGCAGTCCTGAATTTCCCATTGATGAGAGCTTGCCAAAGATTCTGATTTCGGTTATGCAGAAATCCCCCAAAGCGCGATTCACAGCTGCGAAGAATGGAGCTTTCATGCGTGAGTAAAGGTCACATTGTTTTTTCTGTTTAGATGTTTTTGAATTTTTAGAATGTTCATGCAGATTTTTGTAGATATTGCATTTAGTTTATAATACTAGTTATTTTTAACATTATTATTCATTGATAACTATAGAGATAACAAATTATATTACACCACTGTATGTCATGGCTTTTATTGATCTATAAATTATATGATGATAGACCTGCTCTGCATTCATTTGCTTTTGTAAATGTAGTACATGATAGATGTGTCATAATCATAATCAGATTTTTATCAAGAAAATACAAAGGTAAAAAAATTTGTTGCCCTTTTTTCTCTCTCACTAATATTTATCAGGTTTTCATTCTCAGCATAAAAAAAATTTGACAACCCTGCATAAGATGTAAATTTAGACAAACAAAAGGGGATGTAATTTTTTTTTTTCTTAATGAATTTCTCATCATTACTATGGAATAAACAAATGAAAGGAAAGGGACTAAAAGAATTATAATGCAATTCCATATTATTCCAGCATTATACGAGATTGGTATGCAGACAGGAAGTAAGAGTGCGTGGGAAGCTCTGAAGGTGTTGCTCGGAGGGAAGGAGAGTCTGGGGCGGTGGAGTCAGCTTTCGCAGAAGGTGTCAAAGCTCCATACCTTTAGGTGTGTGTGTGTGTGTGTGTGTGTGTGTGTGTGTGTGTGTGTGTGTGTGTGTGTGTGTGTGTGTGTGTGTGTGTGTGTCTGTCTGTCTGTCTGTCTGTCTGTCTGTCTCTGTCTCTCTCTCTCTCTCTCTCTCTCTCTCTCTCTTCTCTCTCTCTCTCTCTCTCTCTCTCTCTCTCTCTCTCTCTCTCTCTCTCTCTCTCTCTCTCTCTCTCTCTCTCTCTCTCTCTCTCTCTTTTCTGTTTGTTCACATTAATGAGAATATCAGTTGCTTTTCTGCTGACTTGATATTGCTTGTGTTTGATGTTTCTCATTATGGAGTCTTGCTAGTTTATCCTTTACCATTACCATCACTCTTTAGGCAGTTGTATGATCATATCAGTATACTGAGGAAACTCTAAATATGTCATTGAACCACATGTCTACATGAAGGAGAAAAATGGTGTCAGAACAGATGCTGTTGCTTGAGAAGCCACCATCAGGGGGAAAAGGGATTACAGCAGCCATGGCTAAACAACTTGCTTGGGTCATATCACGTCCAGCAGCCGGGTCCTGATCAATCATCAGCAGGCACATCTTACAACATACTGCTGAGATGTGACTGGTATATAGTGGACACTCCTCAGCTCTCTCATTGCATTATTCAGCCAGCTCTCTTGTTCCCAATTTTCTTATACAGCCTGGCCTGTATGGAGAATACAGAACACATTCCAATGTATATCACTGAGCAGCAGCAATACAGGACAGTCCTGTCATCTGCCAACTGGGTGCTTCCCTAACCCCCCTGAAGAACTCCACTTCCCCTGCTGCACCCAGTGGGAACTCACACTCCACAAAAAGATATGACCATTCGTGCAGTAGCAACACTCATCTACTACAGGATACAATCCCAGTCATACCCCCTTACAAATCCACTGGAAAGCAGATGCTTTTTGAAATTACCCAAGTGTGTTGATTTGCTGCTAAATTAATCAGCCATATTGTAAACACTTATGCACAAGTGAAATTAATTGGGCACACTTCATGTCGATTGTGGAGATGATGATGATGAGGGAACAGCATTGGCAGTATCAGTGGGCAGGTGTATGAGGTTACTTTATCTCCCTCTTTCTGTTACAAAGAAGCTGAAGGATACACTAACAGTAACAGAAAAATCCAATGAGCAGTAAAGGGTTTCTCAAAAACGAGAGGAAATATTTTCAAAACCTCCTTGAATTATGTGTTGAGCATGAGGGAATAATAAATATTTAGATGTGACCTATAGTTCCTTGTACAGTTTTTGGATCTCCAATTTGATACAGACAATTGTATAGGTTCCATACCAAACATGAAAAAATAGTTTTACCTGTATATACATACCGCTGCCTGTACTTTGTGGAATTCATGCCATTTACTCCTAGCTCTTCATGCCATATCATCCCAGCATCCCTTCTCCATTCTAGCAAGCCTAACAGCCTGAAGGCAGCATCCATAGCAGACAAGGAGCAGCATGATCAATCAGACCCTTCTATGAAGGTCATGCGTGTGGCAAACCTGGCTAGTGACCGCACATGGGACCTGGAAATCAGGTCCAGCATCAAGTCACGGCAGCTTGTGGCATACAAAGAACTCAAGAAAGGTTGGCACTGGGATGGCCAGGAAGTTTTGACGGCTGACGTTGGTGAGATCAAATTGCTTTCTTATATGTCGAATGATCTTGCTTCATTATATTATGTGTTTTGAAAGTATAAATAGTAAAATGAAATTATTATATGTGAACTTGTAAGAAATGAAAACTCATGTAGACAAATTATAATAATTTCTTGCCAAGTATAGTAGCCATCACCTTTTTTTATCACCCAAGTTTTCCCCTTATTAAACCTTATACAGTTCATTCAAACTAGCATTTCTAAAGAGTGAAATCTCAATTCTTATAAAGAATAAGTCTGTTTCCATAGATAATAGCAGTAATAAATGATAAAAGCAATTTCTTTACAGAAGTGCTTTTACTAGGGATAAAAACTCATTTCCATGCAGTGTCTATAAATAATAAAAGACAAGAGTTTCATATGCCGTCCCATGGCACATGCCAGGGATTGTGCGCAGCCACCTACTTGAGTGAGAGAACAGATGCTCAGGGGCCCACACATTTTCCTCACTTTGTGCATGTTTGAATGTGACTTACATGATATTTCAGTATTTGAGATATAATCATGGCTTTAACCCCACATTTGAGGAACTGTAGTTCCTGAACTGCCATGCCCTGAGCCAGACAAGGGAACAGTTGTTTAGGGCATACACTTTGGAACTGGCTGGCTATGAATGGTATGTATACTTGCCAATTGGCATTTAGCTCTGCCTCATTATGGCAAGATGAGATTCACACCACCAATAATGGGTTGCAAATCAATCTCTTGCAGGGGAGCTCTGCAGTGGCCATGTATTAAATGTGACCAATGACGAAACTCATCACATTATCCTGGATAAGAGTGTTCCAAACATTCGTATGAACACTGTATTACAGGTATTTTATTCTGTTTTGTTCTGTCTTTTTAATATTCTGAAAATGATAAGGATTTCTCATATATGCATTGATTATTTTTTCATCATTCATGAATTGATGAAAAGCATTATTCCTCTCCCCTTTCTCATCTCACACCTCCTCTCCTTCCTCTTATAACTGTCCCTCCCCTACCCTCTCTTCCCTTTCCTGTCATCTCTCCCTCTCTCTCTCTTCCTTTCCCCCTCCCCTCCCCTCCCCTCCCCTCCCACCCCACTCCCCTACCCTCTCTTCCTTTTCCTGTCATATCTCTCTCTCTCTCTCTCTCTCTCTCTCTCTCTCTCTCTCTCTCTCTCTCTCTCTCTCTCTCTCTCTCTCTCTCTCTCTCTCTCTCTCTCTCTCCCTCTCTCTCTCTCTCCCCTCTCTCTCTCCCCCTCTCTCTCTCTCCCCCTCTCTCTCTCTCCCCCTCTCTCTCTCTCCCCCTCTCTCTCTCTCTCCCTCTCTCTCTCTCTCCCTCTCTCTCCCTCTCTCTCTCCCTCTCTCTCTCCCTCTCTCTCTCCCTCTCTCTCTCCCTCTCCCCCCCCCCCCCTCTCTCTCTCTCTCTCTCTCTCTCTCTCTCTCTCTCTCTCTCTCTCTCTCTCTCTCTCTCTCTCTCTCTCTCTCTCTCTCTCTCTCTCTCTCTCTCTCTCTCTCTCTCTCTCTCTCTCTCTCTCTCTCTCTCTATCTCTCTCTCTCTATCTCTCTCTCTCTATCTCTCTCTCTCTCTCTCTCTCTCTCTCTCTCTCTCTCTCTCTCTCTCTCTCTCTCTCCTCTCTCTCTCCCTCTCTCTCTCCCTCTCTCTCTCCTCTCTCTCTCTCTCTCTCTCTCTCTCTCTCTCTTCTCACCCCTCTCTCCTCTCTCTCCTCTTCTCTCTCTCACCCCTCTCTCCTCTCTCTCCTCTTCTCTGTCTTTCACCCTTCTCTCCTCTCTCTCCTCTTCTCACTCTCTCACTCCCTTCTCTCTCTCACCTCTTCTACTCTCTCACTCCCTTCTCTCTCCTCACCCTCTCTCTCCTCTCTCTCACTTCTCTCTCTCTCTCTCACTTCTCTCTCCCTCACCTCTCTCTCTCTCTCTCTCTCACTCCTCTCTCTCTCTCTCACCTCTCTCTCTCTCTCTCTCTCACCTCTCTCTCCCTCTCTCTCACTCCCTTCTCTCTCTCACCTCTCTCTCTCTCTCTCACCTCTCTCTCCCTCACCTCTCTCTCCCTCTCTCTCACTCCCTTCTTTCTCTCACCTCTCTCTCTCTCTCACCTCTCTCTCTCCCTCACCTCTCTCTTGCTCCCTTCTCTCTCTCACTCCCTTCTCTCTCTCACCTCTCTCTCTCTCTCACCTCTCTCTCTCTCTCACCTCTCTCTCCCTCACCTCTCTCTCCCTCTCACCTCTCTCCCCCTCTCTCCCTCCCCCTTACCCATCCCCCTTCCCCGTTCTCTCTTTCTCTTCCCCATCCTCTCCATTTTTCCTGTCTCTTCCCTTCTCTCAAGCACATGATTCTCCAACATTCTGACATTATCCTCAGATAATTCTGGGCATGCTGAACACCGGGCTGGGAGGTAAAATTTACATTGGCTTGAACAGCAAAGGGATTGTGTCTGGAGCCAAAATGACCAGAGAGCAACGTGATTGTTTTATGCTGGGTAAGAAATGGGATTTGAACCTCCAACTGAAAGAGTTTTCTTTAAGTATGTAATGTCTCTTTGATAAATTTAGCATTGATTTTTTTTCTGTTACTGTATTAGAGGTATTATTTTACAAATGATACAAACAAATGATAAATTAATTAATTTCCCTTAGCCATACTGCCCCATGCATTGTGCTGTACATAGTCACATAAATGAACTGTCAGAAGTGTGATAAGTATCCATTTATTCCAATCTCAATGCTTTTGGACAATTTTTATAGGATATGAGGCTAAAAAGAGATTCAAAGTCTACTTTTGATCAACTGTATCTCCTGAATGACTGCAGGCCGGGCCAGAGAAACAAACAACAGTTTCACAGATATAATCTAGTCATCATCTGGTGTGAGTGGATTAAAAAAATTTAATACTATAGAAAGATGAATTTCTTTTTTTCTTTTTTTTCTTTCTTTTTCCTTTTTCTTAAATTCAGGAACTGCTTTTATGTTTCAGGTTTTTCAAAATTAGTCACCTCAGAGATCTTCCCAATGCTCCTGCCATGTAATTCACTCATTCAGTTCATCCCTGTGGTTCGGCCTGGAAGTACTCTTAATGTTCTTCCATCACTTTCGTCGTCCCTTCATACAACTTTACCCTCTGATGCGTCTGTGATCATCATGACTGTGAGTAAAGATTTATCTGTCATCTCTCTCTCAGTCCCTTTCTGTTTCTGTTTAGTCTTACTCTATCTCCTATCTACTCTCTCTCTCTCTCTCTCTCTCTCTCTCTCTCTCTCTCTCTCTCTCTCTCTCTCTCTCTCTCTCTCTCTCTCTCTCTCTCTCTCTCTCTCTCCTCTCTCTTCCCTCCTTCCCTCCTTCCCTCCCTCCCTCCCTCCCTCCCTCCCTCCCTCCCTCCCTCCCTCCCTCCCTCCCTCCCTCCCTCCTTCCCTCCTTCCCTCCTTCCCTCCTTTCCTCCTTTCCTCCTTCCCTCCTTCCCTCCTTCCCTCCTTCCCTCCCTCCCTCCCTCCCTCCCTCCCTTGCCCTGTCTACTTTTCATGCTTTTGCCCTTTCTCTCTCTCCTCCTTCTCCCGCTCTTTCGTATGGTTTATGGTCTGCATAACACTCATTTGGTCTGAGAGTTCAGTTTTAAATAAAATCAATATATGGAAGGGATATTTCCTCTGTTTGATGGCATAAAAGATGCACTTGGAAAAAATGGCTAAAATTTACACCCTGATTCTTTTATGCTAAGGTTGGGCCTCACTTTTTTTTTTAATATATCCTTTAGAAATGGGGTATTTAATGTGCCTGAGAATCCTAAGTGCCATCAGATTCAGTAGTGCACATGATAGGGGAAATGATGAGGATAGAATGCCAAGAGGAAAATTCAGAGAGTAGAGTGATGTTAAATAGGACTAAATGGTCTCAGAAATCTTGGAATAAAATAGCCCCGAATTCTGATTACCTCCCTCAAGGTCTGACTCCCCCCCCTCCAGGGCCACACCCCCATGATTTTTTTTTTTTCTTTTTCTTTTTTTTCTTAAATTGCACCTTTATAGCTCTCTGACTTTTGCTGTTGTTGTTATTGTTGTTGTTGTTAGTTAGTTACTTAGTTTCCCAGATGGCCAACACTGAACATTTTTTATTACTTCCTCTAAATCCAGAACTTTGGTATCTTCCAGGTAAAACCCCAGCCCAATACAATTTATAGGTGTCGTGATGATCCTGAAGCTTTGCTGTTGCGGGAAGGAGGTGTCAACACATTTGTACGTGGTCAAAAAACTGCTCAGATGATCAATGCCTCTGCAATGTGGACGAAGGAGCTGCAAGAAGAAGTTGTAAAGGAAAAACAGTTGTTGCTGAATACAATATTATCAAAAGATACATGATTGATAATGTAAGAGAGAGAAAGAGTGAGTGAGTGAGTGAGTGTGTGTTTGTGTGTGTGTGTGTGTGTGTGTGTGTGTGTGTGTGTGTGTGTGTGTGTGTGTGTGTGTGTGTGTGTGTGTGTGTGTGTGTGTGTGTGTGTGTGTGTGTGTGTGTGAGTGTGTGTGAGAGAGTGAGAGAGTGAGAGAGTGAGAGAGTGTGTGTGTGTGTGTGTGTGTGTGTGTGTGTGTGTGTGTGTGTGTGTGTGTGTGTGTGTGTGTGTGTGTGTGTGTGTGTGTGTGTGTGTGTGTGTGTGTGTGTGTGTGTGTGTGTGTGCGCGTACATGTGAATGTGCATGTGTCTGTATTTGCATGCGTATGTGCATACATGCATGTGCCCCATGCGTGTATGTGTCTGCATGTGTGTGTTTTATATATTGATGTGCACACACAGGTAGAGAGAGAATGAATTGGATACGTAAACACATTTGATAAAACCAGTACTAATACGATATTAGTAATTTTACAGAACTTGTTGTATTTTACACCTGTGGTTCATATATGTGTGCAGTTTGTATAGGCAGCTATGCATAAGCTTGTATGTTTGTGAATAAATTGCTAAGAATAATTTGTATTTTGTATTTTCCAATACAGTTGGATTTAACTTTTTGCTCTCTCTCTCTCTCTCTCTCTCTCTTTCTCTCTATCTCTATCTCTCTCTGTATCACTATCTCTATCTCTATTTATACATCTATCTCTATCTATATCTATCTCTATCTCTATCTATATCTACATCTCTATCTATATCTACATCTCTATCTATATCTCTATCTCTATCTCTAGCTATATCTATATCGGTATCTATATCTCTATCTCTTTCTAATGATAATATAATTAGTGATAATAATAATTACTGCAATGATAATAGAAATATTATTATTATTTCAAGTCTGTTGTGCTGTATGATGTCTAGCACATTTATTTTTTCTAACCATTAACCATTCACGTCTGTGGGAGATGCATCGACTCTGTCGGTCCTACGAAAACCCATCGGGTCAGCCAGCTGTCTCACACAAAAAACACCTTTACATGTATAAGAAATAATGATTATATGGTGGTAATTGAGATTTGAATGGATAACACCTGATGCCACATCATATGGTGGAATTATGGGTTATAACTTAATTGTCGTAAAAACAACAATATTACTGCATATATATCCCAAAGGCGCCGGGTGTACAAAAGAAAAAAAAAACTCTACGCTTAAACAAAAAGGCGGCGCGCCGACTTTGAGCGCGTGAGTAGGGGACATCAGCCCGAAACACTGGCTCGCCGCGCTTTGGCGCGCCGCCGGCTCGTTTGGCTGCACGCCAGCTTTCGAGCTCTTTATTTACACGCCGATCGGCGTCACCCGGCACCAAGGGGATATATATATATATATATATATATATATATATATATATATATAAATTTATATATATATTTACATATATATATATATATATATATATATATATATATATATATATACATATATATATGTATATATACCATCAATGTCAGAAATGTTGGCATTTTGGCCACTCAGCCAAACACTCACTCCACAGCCCGCTGCCCTCTATGTGTCCAATCTGGTCATGCCCGTTCAAATGGCTCTGCTCAGTCTCGCACGTGTGCCAATTGTGGTGGCTGCCATTATTTATTTTATAGGAGCTGCCCTGCCTACAAACTCGAATCAAACTAAGCCTCACTCTACAAGAAGACAAGAAGCACGCCGACGAGGATTTCTCTTTCTAATTATTCCAAAACTTTCACTCGTTCCGCTCCCCTCCCATCTTCTCAAGATGTCTCAGCATCTCATCTGATTCCTAATCTAAATCCAGATAC